TGTGATTGGAAGGGGTTGATGACATCCTTTAAAAAGAGGGGGAAAATTGAAAGAAGAAGAGGTAATATAGTTTATGAAATGTAAAATGGATGTAATGGAAGCAAAGATGGATTGTAAGAAACATATGGAATGGTCTAGAGAAGAATATTGGTGTAAATTAGTTTTAGATTATTTCTTATCTTTCCCTTTTAATCTTTATCACTGATGTCTGATCCTATGGAATTTATGTAGTTTTCCTTGAGAGCTACAAGTACATAACAGTTCCCATCCTAGATAGCAAAGTATCCTTGATGCACACATTTCACCATATATATTTTTGATGCTGCTTGAATAATCTGCTATTTTCAAATAAATTGAATCAGACGCCATCTAAAAAAACCCCTCTCTCTTTCTTCTGAAAGGGAAACCCAACTTAATGCACTGTCAGTAAAGACCTGAGGTGTATTATCAGAGGAGAGAATAGAGAAGGGGTCAGAGAAGGTCTCAGACAAAGTGGGAGGGAGCTGGGTCACAGCCGCATGACAGAGCATATCGTCTTGGTCTGCCTGTGGGATTCTCCTCAGATGAAGTCACAATTACCACACTGAATATTAAATATGTTGGGAAAGCCATCTGTAGAACCCTCATCTTACTAAGAACGAGGACACAGGCAGGAAAGGCAACTAATTTACAGTTGCTCTGACTTAACCTGTGATCAAAACTCCATTAGGGGCTTACATTTAATAACATTTAAAGTAAAATTACTTATTTGAAGTAGTTTACAAAATATGACCAGTGAGTAATGTATGTACTTTACTCCAACAAAGATAATAATGTGGTTGCTAATTATACTTTGTCAGCATACTGAAAGCCAGAGGTAACTGTGCAGCTTAAGGGAGGGGGGGAGTGGGGGGAGTGGGAGAGAGAGAGATTCTTAGATACCAGAAGTTGGTTTTTCTTTAAAGAAAAATATTCCCCTCCATCATTCCACATTGTCTTTCTAGGAATAAAACAACAGTCCTCTGAAAATATGTATTCCACTATTCCATGCTCTTCTCAAGAACATAGATCATTCATGGCAAATTTTATTGGAGAAACTTCTATTTTTACTTAAGGAATGGTATATTGGCATTTCATTTACCTCCTGGTGCGTAATACTTAAGCTTCATATTTGGACAGAGCTAAGTCAAATAATGGCAATTAAAATTATTTTAGGCCTGTTCAGTTAGACAAATGCTGGTGGCACAGTGGTTAAGTGCAGTATTGCAGGCAAACTGCCCACAGCCTGGAGGTCAATCCTGATGGGGTTCAAGGTTTTCTTCGTTTCCATCTTTCTGAGGTCAGCTAAACCACGCAGAAAGTGCTGTAAAGCACCATGGAGAGGTATATATAAATCTATGTGCTATTACCACTGCTAAATGCTGGATTGTCTCCCATTCCAGAGGGAGCTTGGAGTTTTTCCTGCATTATGAAATGGACGCATGTCTGAGGTTTTGGTCTGGATTACTCCTATGCACCGTCTCTGTGCCAATCCTGGGTTCACAATGGTTTTCTGGATCTGAGAAAAAGCCTAAAAAATGAATCCAACCAAAGTAAGAGCCCATTTTCAGGCCTCATTGCAGTAGCAAGGTTGGTGAAACATTGCTGTTTCTCCACTTTAGAGTATATTCTGATGGCCACCCTGTGACCTTATTTAGAGTGATCCATAATGCTGTTTAAAATTACCTAGGGTGGCATTGGCCACAAGAACACCTATAGCAGCATTCACCAACCGATGGGCCGCAGCCCACTGGTGGGCCATGAGAAAATTTTGGTGGGCCACAGAGAAATCTCACCCCCAGAGCACCCCCTCCCAAGCAATTAATCCAGGCTGCGCAGAAACACAAGGCTGCTCAGCCCACGTGGCCCGCATGAACCCTCCCCGCCCACTCACTCCTTACCTGGCAAATTTGTCTGCTAAATTGCTGTTTTTCCTTTTTCCAACCATCATCTGTTCTGCTGAGCCTTGAGATTTAGGTTAGCTAGGAAACGGTTGGATTTCTTGCTTTCTAGCTAGTCTCCCTTAGGACTGAAGGTTCTATTATTCAGTGCAGACTCACAGCAAGCAAATTTGAGAGACTGAGCTAGCTGAAGGCAGATCGATAGTTCACTGAATGATTCTGTGAGCAACTCAATCTGCCTGCCCGCTTTGCCTGATTTTGGGTAAAAGTTGCTCTTTTTTTAATAAAAAAATTCAATATTTACCTACATGGTGTGTTGTGAGTTAATTTTGTGAGTTTGCTTGCAAGCAAATTTTATATGACAGATTGAGCTAGCTAATGGCAGATAGATTTCTGAATGAATCCGATTCTGTGAGCAACTCAAATCTGCCTGCCTGCTTTGCCTGATCTTGGGTAAAAGTTGCTCTTTTTTTTATAAAAAAATCAATATTTATATCAATATTTATAATATTTACATGCAAGCCATGCCCAGCCAATCACATGACCACCAAGCCACACCCACAAATTAGGCCATGCCCATATAACCAGTTAGTGGTCCCTGGGATTTAAAATTATGAGTTTAGTGGTCCCTGAAGTCCAAAAGGTTGGTGACTCCTGGCCTATAGGGCCACAGTGAGAAATGTTCACACTATCTCACAGATAGTCACTTACATTCACTTGGAGAGAGACTCTGACAGGCAGGTCCAAGTGAGTTGTCTGGGGCAATGTAGAGAGTAATGGAGATTACCTTAACAGAAAGAGATAGAAGATATGTTCTCAAGACAACCAGTAGATAAACTCCATAGGCACCCAAATGAGGAGCGGGGGCAGTTCAAAAGTATCTCAGATAAGCAACCACCAAATGTACATGAAGATAAAAGAGAGAGAGGCAGAAGCAAATTCAGAGTTACAAGATACTTTTTAGCCAATCTTAATAAAAATAGTTTTAGGCACAACAGAATAGAATAGAATAGAATAGAATAGAATAGAATAGAATAGAATAGAATAGAATAGAATAGAATAGAATAGAATAGAATTCTTTATTGACCAAGTGTGATTGGACACACAAGGAATTTGTCTTGGTGCAAATGCTCTCAGTGTACATAAAAGAAAAGATACATTTGTCAAGAGTCAAGATAACACAATAAGAAAATAACAGAGATGGAAGGGACCTTGGAGGTCTTCTAGTCCAAACCCCCTGCCCAAGCCCTATACCATTTCAGACAAATGTCTGTCCAATCTCTTCTTAAAAGATGAAGTCTTATGATGTTATCTGGACTAAGAGTCTATGAGCCCTGCTGAAATAGACAACATACTGTAAGTTTAGCCAATTGACTGCTACATCCAAGTGCTACCTCAGTTGCTAAGGTGGTCTGAGAGTTGACCCATGGGTAGCTCTAAGCAGAGATATCAGCCTGTTTGAGTCCTCCTGGTTTTGTGGTATAAAGCTGTTGAAATTGATCAGATAGCAGTTGCAGAGGGCCTTAGAGGAAGCAGACTTCTCTGGTCCACTTCTGTCAGGTTTAGGTCATGATATACAGTAGTACAAATATCTGGTGTTGCTTGACAGTGGTGTTGCTTGTCAATGACCTATGGCATATCTGGGATGATGGTGCTGCATCCATCCTCATGTTCCTTGAGCTCTCAGCTATTTTTTAACCATCCTTCTGAATCAGCTTGGCTTGGAGTGGAGGACCCTATGCTACAATGATTCACCACCATCCACAGTGGTTGGTTCCAAAGAGTGTTGACGGGGGCGGGGGGGATTTTCACCCATGGTTTCTCACTTGTAGGATGCCCAGAGTTATTTATCAGGTTCAGGTTCAGTATCACCAACATGAGGATGATACCCAACTGTACAGTTTTAAGAGCTTGTCACCATCTCTAAATATGTCTGTCTTCCCTTTCATATTCACATCTTGTAAAAAAACAAAATCCATAAGCTTTGTCAGTCATTCCTTGTCAGCAAAAGTCTAGTAAGAGAAATCAGATTAAAAACTATTTTCCTCTTAGCCCTGATAGAATAAATTGACTTTATAAATCTTCCCTGAATTTTTAAGGGTCTCACATTTTAATGTTTGCTTTTATGTTTTTTATCTGATCGTTCAGTACTGCCTCGAGTCGCCTTTGGTGAAATGGGTAATTATTTCAATTTGATTTGATTAATAAATTAATTTGATTAATAAAATGATTAAGCCCAATCGTGTAAATGAATAATATTTGAAAATATATAAAATTATATCTAATTGGGACATTACTCAATGGGTAGTTCAGTATGCAGACATGCAGTGTGAAGCTTGACCTACTGAAATTCTCATTTATTGGACAACTCTCATCTGCGCTCATGGCTGCACTTTGGGGAGCACTAAAAATATTGCAATAGTTCTTATAAATCAGAGTGTTTTCAGGCCACTTTCTTTGGATGCAAATTTATGAATGAAAACAATAAGGCCAATTCAGGCTGCTTTTTCAGAACTGGAGCAGCAGGTCATCTCTAGCCAGTGCTTTGATACACAGGCTTCACATTTCACTGCTTGTTTTTCCGCAGCTAGGTAAATATTTCCCCATATGTTTATGTGTGTATTTGTATGTGTGTGCATGGTGCGTGCGCTCACTGAGTCACCTTTTAGGGAAAGGTGCTTCAGCAGCCATTCCTGGCAGTGGAAATGATGTGGCTTCTGCCAAGCTCTGTCAACTCTGATTTGTGTTAGGAGCCTAGCATTCCTTGGTGCTTCCTATCATCTCCCTGAGTTCAAAGAGCCCTTAGTTGCTTGTCTTTGTCAAAAACCCTGTAGGAGATCTTTTATGTCGAAGATGTAGGATTTCTCCCCATGACTTTGATTATTTATTCATTCTACTTCTCTGGTGTACTCTAGGGCTGCTATCACTAAGACCCCTTGTCTGCCTCGCAGTTGCTCTAAAATGCATGGAGCTTTACCGCCTTTGAAACTATGGGTTTAAAAAAATAAAATAAGATACGGTGAAGAAGCGTGCTCTCTTTTTTTTTAAGTTCTTTTTTTTTCTTTTTTCCCCCATCTACAGTTCCACAGCACATTTTTCCAGCCTTCCATTCTCCTTTGCCAATTGACATGCGTCACCAAGAAGGAAGATACCATTATGAACCTCACTCCCTTCATGCGATTCATGGGTAAGTCTTGCAAGTTCACTTTTATAGCATAGCCTTTCTTGCATTTTATGATGTAGAGAAGAAATACATCTGTTAAGGCTGCCTTTCCCTTTAGAAAGGCTAAAAGGGTTTCTCCAAAGCCTTTGGCTGAACTTCTGGAGCATATGGGAGCTATATTGTAAGATAACATCTCGGATGGGCAAATAAGGGGAAGGTTTGTGCTAGTGTTGCAACTAAGGCATTTTTATTCAGTGACCAACTCATTGTATTGCTTCTCCAAAACCTATTACTGTTTCCTCTCTCTCTATATTTCCTAACCTGAATGTCCCTGAGATTTGGAAACATTACATTGTATAAATCAAAGTGATATGCATTTTATATATAAGCTGTCATTCCATTGTAAATAATTCCATGGCTGGTCATCTGTGTGATTGTTAGAAGGGAGACCACGTCATTGTGTCTGAGTGCATTGATTCATAATCCAGCATTCCATGGATATGCAGTCTTCTTTTCAAAAGGCAAGTTTCTAGTCCTTTCTGTTGGAGATGTGAATATAAATAATATTGAGTTGACTCACTGGCTGGGGCTAGCCTATTGTCACAGGAATGTCAGTTGTTTTTTTCATCTGCTTGTTCTTTCTACCGTGTTTCTCCAACAATACGGCCTCCCCCAATAGGAAGTCCCAGCATGTTTTATAGGCATGAAATGAAATTAAGCCCCTCCCCCCCAAATTAAGGCCTATATTAAAACATGCGAAATGGGGGGAATGGTGGAGGGGCTTGCCGTTAGGAAGTACTTTTGTTGCACACCCGGATATGGTGCTGCCTGCGTTGACCCCGATACAAAGTGCCCCACCAACGCCGAGGTCAACATCCAAGCCGTCACTGCCCGCCTGCCCGCCCGAAGATGCAAGTGGGGGGAATTAAGTCACCCCCCAAAAGATGGCCTAGCCATTTTTTCGGGGCTCAAAAAAAAAAAAAGACCCGGCCTTATTATATGAGAAACACGGTAGTAATTAATATAAATTGAATATATTATACAAATACTCAAATCATTGCAAATAAACCCATGTGCTATAGTGGATTTAAGAATTCATTGAGTGCATCAGTGCCATTCACAGCATTCAACAGCAAAACTTAAATCTGGAAGCAAGAGATTATTCCATGGAAATTGTGGGATAATAATCCAAAACATGGATTATTTGGTGCTATTTTGACTAGAAACAGTGTATTCTCTCTGCTAATACATTAACCTGCTGCAATTACACATTCCCACATTATACTTTTGGAAAAAAATGAATTCTGTGGCTTGTAAGAATTGTGCACCAAAAGTACCTGTGCATGTTTAGTTTTCCCCTGAATGGTTGATACTCTGGATATAGAAGTATTGATCATTTCAACATTATTTACATACTTCATTCTGTATTGCCAAGGCAAATAGAGTGATGTGGAACTGCACAGGCAATAAAGGCTCAGGCACCGGAAATATTTATCTTTCTGTCTTTGAGATTTTAGCCAATTTTGCTTTCAGGATTGCTTTTGAAACCATACATTCTACCAAACTTAACAACAGCGACCAACAATTGAGGTTTTCAATTATCTGAGCATGTACCAACAGTAGTATCATATTGTAGCTTCTTTTTCTGTATGGCATGATACACTTGCCATATAGTAGATGAACTTGTTTGCTCTTTTTACTCCAGTCACCCCTGGATTAGAACCCACCGTTCATCAATATTGCAAAACCTTCTTCGGTATCTCAGAGGCACACCAACTTTTCCAATGAATTTGTATTTCTGAGTCTTTCTCACCAGCAAGTGATAGAGAAGGATTTGCTGTAAAGCAACACAAGACTTTGGAGAGAGAGAGAAAAGTCTCGAGAGAGAGGCATCAAGGGGCTCCTTAGCTGCTTCCAAATCTTGTAGCGATCGGAGTTGTGGGGGGGGGGAGAGAACCCTCTTTTCATCGCGGCATAATGAAGAGCTGCGCAGCTGAGGGGGTTTTCCTCCCCCTTTCTCTTCTGGAATGTTGTTTCCGGATATTCCCCCTTTTTTATTTTTGAGAAGAGGAACTGCTGTGAGGATGAAGGCAGTCTGAAGGCCCGACAGCTGGGCAATTTCATGCAGTGAAGAGCTGCGGAGGTCTTTGAAAAGGGTACTAACTGCTTCATTGTTGCACAGAAATACCAGGCACAGAGCCTGGGACAGAATGTGCCTCTCTGGCTGTTCAGAGTATCCCTCAGTGGGTTTATCACAGCCTAGCAAGCTTGTTGATTGCTGCAGTGAAAGTCCCATCGTTCTGAGGGAGATCATTAATAAACCTAAGCAGTACTATTGCATGTGAGAAAGAATGCTATAAACTTTTAGTTTTGTGAAGGAAACGAGGGTACCCAGGATTGGAGAATGTTTATTTCTTTACAAATAAAGCATCCAGCAATTTCTAATCTTGAGGCTTATTGAGATGTACTGTAACTTCTAGATTAGAAACTGCTAGATGATTTATTTGTATAGAAGCAAACATTCAGCAATATTGGGTATCCCCTTCTCCATCAAAAAACCTCCATAGAGTTCATTCGGATTTCCCTGAGAATAGATTTGCCTTATTCTCTGAAAATTGTTCTGAATGTGAAGAGTGAGCAGGATGGAGCCATCCAGAGTATCCAGATGAATTCTGCAAATCCCATGCAAGTGAATAAAAACAAATCTGTTGTTTTCAAACCTCTAGAGAAAAATATATCATTAAGCAAAGAATTACAAATCAGAAATTAGTAAGAAGCATCATAAATATGTGCAACTTTCTGTCATTTTTAATGTTTTAATGTGCTTATTTTTATAGTTTCAGTGTGGTTTTTTTGTATGCTGCTTTAACTTTTGATTGAGAGCTGCCTGGAATTAGTTATAAGATGGGCAGCTATATAAATGTTTTAAATAAATAAACTAACATTGTCGGTATTGATCTTAAACTGAAATAAATGCTAGGGATCTCTAATAGCGTTGTTGTTGTTGTTGTTCCTTCTTTACTACTCATTTATCCCAGAAATTCAGAGGATTCATTGATTAATTTTATTAGATGGGAATCTAGTTAATCCATGAATCACTGAGGCCAATTGTCCTTAAATACGCCATAAATCAGCCAGTGGTCTATTACATATTATCTTATTAAGCAGAAACTCTCTTTAGAGATCTATTTAAGTTAGTGATATGTAATGCTACTAATTTCCAGCCTCTAAAGACTCAATGCCCCACAAGAGTAGTTGCACTCATTGCTAATAACTGGTTTGATTAAAAAGATGAAAGCATCAACATAGGCCAGCTGACCTAGCAGAATTCCTCTCCCCAATTGAAATGTGCATGTTTAACCAGATTTATTATTTAGACATGAAGTTGCAGCCAAATACAATAAAATATTGTTTTTAACTGTTTAAAAAAGTGACATCAACATTTTCAGTTTACTTTGGTACTGGAAGGCCCATAGCAAGAAGCTGTTAGAAATGAGAGGCCTTTTCTGTCTCCTTGGCAGAAAATGTAGTGTGGAAGTCAGAGAGCATGGCTTTCATTGATTCCAGACTGAAAACAACTTAAGAACAGGCTTGTATGTGTGCTAATAGAACAACCTGGCCAAGAATGAGCCGAACGCACCCTGTAGATGCAAACTGATAGAACAACAGGTCAGGAATAGAAATATGAATGTGAAAGAATTCCATCGTGCTCTTCTGCTCCAGATGAATCCACAGTAAGATGAACACCAGCAAAATAAATCTGATTGGCCTTCTTCTCCTAAAAAAATTAAGTGAGCCTTGGGCAGCTGGATTTGTTTCATTAAGTGAATTAGATGGCTGGGGCCTCTTTTGTTTTTTAAAAACTTGCATTTTCAGTAGGATCATCAAGATATGAGAAGAGTAGCGTACATTTCTAATCTTGGTTTATTTCATAAATTTAACTTGTAACACTGTTGCCGCACTGAATATATATCATTTCAGTAGATACATCCTGACTACAAAAAGCTCTACAGAAGATACTATCATTGGTTAATGGAAAATTAAGTCCTGGTTCAGAATTGTGAAGGTTATTTCAGAAATGATAGGCGTATAGACACAATTACCACTATACTTGTTGGCAATCCTGTGTTAAACCTGTGAAACCTTCGAAGTATACGAAGGTCACAAGATGAGCCCTCATAAGCAAAAGATTAATAGAAAACATGAGTTTTAAGTACAAAACTGACATTTCATCAAATGTATTTGGCTAAATTCTCAAATTCAGAGGAAATTTAGCCTCCGGTTGTATGCGCAATGTTCATAAACATTGGATTAGGAATAATCATGCAATAGGCTAGTGTTTGACGATGCTGTATATTAGGAAGCACTTCTGAGTGAATCATTTCAGTATTTTTATCATGTCATTATAACCATAATAATTAAAACCTATATATATATAAAAAAGGGAATTTTGTTCCCAAACTGCTTCATACTTTTCCTATGGGAAACCAAGAAAGTCTTATATTCTAAAGTAAAATGAAGTCACGAAGCTTGGGCTTTATGATTAATATGATCAGAGCCTGAAAGAGGCTCTCCCAATTCATCATGGCCATATTCTAGCTGTCGACTTTCTTGCCTGTTCCAAATGTACCTAATTACACGAACACTGCACCGCAAATTAAGTGTAGTCTCATTTGTTGTCAACCACAGAGTCTTATTATCTGCCTGCTGCTTTGTGTCAAAGGTTTGTTTTTTAGCTCCTCAACAGAACAGGACTCTATATTCCCTTTTATCACTGTTTGCATATAGCCTAATGAGTGGGAGTTATTTCATCCCAGCTGTTGAGAGAACGGGTTCAGCTGGAGTTCCAATGCAAGTTGGAGGTACACAAGGAAAGTTGATTTCATGCATTGAGAAAATGACCCTGAATTAGAGCAGCACTCAAAGGGCACATCCAGTTAATAAATGGGTAGCAGGTAAATAGATTTGCAATTGCAATTTCTTTCATTGGGTGAGAGAGGATAAATTTTTTTTCTTTGTTATAT